GGGGCTGCCCGGCGTGGCTCCTTTGGGAGGGTTTCGACGGCAGGGCCCACTCCCAAAAGGGGGTGCCCCCCCAGAAGCAGCTCGCCACTCCTTCCCATCATTTGGTGCGAGAAGTCGAAGTGGGCACAGGTCAAGCACGCAGCCCTTTGGCTGCTCTGAAAAGCGGGTGGTCCCCCCACCGCCCACCCCCGTTTTGCTCCATCCAGTTCTGCCACTTCTACATGCTGCTGCTGTGTGTCTGTACCGTCCGGAAAATTTGTGTATTTCTTTAAAACTGGGAAACAGAATGGTTCCTCATAACTTATTTGCAGCCATGAAAGCAACATGTATCGCTCTGCCAAAACAAAGCACAAGGATTTGAGTGAGTTATTTTTAAAAAGGCAGCGGAAAGAGATCAAATGGGGGGTTTTCTCTGGTGCCTGCTTCTCCCGCTGTTTCCCCGCTTGCCGGTGACTCAGTGGGTGGCTGCACACGCCGCCCGTTGGCTCCCTTGCCGGTGGAAACCGACACGGCCACGGACTGGGCAAGGCTTCATATCCCGGGAAGCCCCTCCAAAGAGAGTCGTCCCCCCACCCCAGAAAACACAAGGCATGTCTGAGCATCTGAGAGATGAAAAGCGAGGCCAGCGGCGTGTGGAGCAGAGCAGAAGACCCACTGCAGAGGCACTGGGAGAGCTGCTGGGGGCTGAAAGGCGCCACGGAGCCAGCCAGGCGCTCGGCCTGGCCTCCCTCGCAGGGTTGTTGTTGTGGGGACAAGACTGAGCAGGGGGAGAATGATGCAAGCTGCTTTGGGTTTGTTGTAAGGAAACGGAAGGATAGCAATGGCATAAACAAATAAGGAGGGGAAGAGAAGCACACATCGAGCCCGATCGCTTGGCTGCGACCAGCCCCCTTCACTTATTCCAGGACACAGCCTGGCACGTGCGTGTGCATTCGGGGAGGAGGAAGAGGGTTTGTGCAAGAGGCGGATCTCCCCTTCTACTCTGCACATGGTCCTGGAAGGCCTCTGGGGGCCGCAGGCATGGCTGGGGGGAAAGCAGGCCAGGGATGCCTGCCTGCCCTGGAAGCAGCCGGCTCCGGGAGCAGAGGGCGGGCAGGCGGGCAGTTGACTGCAGCCGCTTCAGAGAACCGTGGCGTACGCTCAGCCACAGGAGTGAAGCCAATCCATAGAGACACAGACCGTCATCACAGACCGTCCTGCTCGGCCGCAGGAGTGGAGCCAATCCATAGACACCCCCGCGGCCCCCCCCCCCCCACCAGCTGCGTGTGGCCAGAGTGCTGTTGCCGGCCAGAGTGCGGCACTTACGTCACACGGAGGCTCCTGGGTCCTGCGCGCCGCGGCTCCGTCCCTGGAGAAAGGAGGCAAGAGGCAGACAGCGGCGGGGGGGTTACGGGGGGCAGCGGAGCAAGGAGCAGAGGCTCACCGGCCCGGGCGTTTGGACGAGGGGCTGGGGGGGCAGGGATGCCGATCCAGGCCCCCAGGACCACGCAGGCTGCATGGCCAGAGCGGCGGCTGCAGGAGCCGGGGAGAGCCGGGCCGATCGCCCGGGCGGCCAGTGCCAGAGCTGGCACGAGGAGCTGCTCTTGGCGCCTCTGCCGGTTCTGAGTGCGGGGAGCCCCGGAGGCGCTCGGCAGGCCCCCGGCTGGGCCACATGGGCAGACTGGAGCGTGGCCACCCTGGCTCCGCAAACGGAGGCTGGGCGGCGTGCAGGCTGGCCTGGCTTGGACGGCAGGTGCAGGCCCCCTGAAGCGGCCGCCCACCGGCCTCGTCCTCGCTGCAGACATTCTCCACCCACCCCCCGCAGTGCTGCTGTTCCCCCCTATGGAGAGGGAAATGCCCGCTGCCTGATAGCACTGTGGACGATGGACCCAGCAATGGGAAGCTGCGGCGGTCCAGTCCACATAACAGCTCTGTGCTCAATAAGTAAGCCCCCTGCTTCACACGCTCTGCCTTTACTCTTCCTTTCCACCATTTCAAAATGGACTTGGTACCCTTTGGCCGCCATATTTTATTCTGGAGGGATCTTAAATATAATCCGCTCTTGGAATTCTGGGCTTTTGGGAATGAGGCAGGTAACCCGATAGGCTGTTCAAGGACAGGCTGGACGTGCACATGGTGGGCATGTCGTGAGCGGAGCTGGCTGGTGCCGGAGGTCAGACTAGATGGCCCGGGAGGCCCCTTCTGACTCGCTCTGTTTTCTATGTTTCTATGTTCTATGTAACCCGGCACTTTGGAGAGGCGCCGTCCGTTTTTCTTGCAGGAGCATTCCCACAAAACCGGCGCCTGCTCTTCCACCCCCCAGCACAAGGCCCTGGTGTGGCCTAGGCGGCACTCGCATGCCACGCTTCGTGGCAGCATCCAGGACAGCCCTGGGCTCGCCTCGCTCCAGAAGGCGCTGCAGAGGAGCCTGGGCCACGCGGGAGAGGCCCTGCCGGGGCTGCCGGGGCGGGAGGGGCCCACCCACCTCTGTGCATGAGGGGGCAGTGCCGCTTGCAACAAAGCCCTGCGCCAGCCAGCGTGGGCCACAAGGTGCGCGTCCACGCTTGGGCCCCGGAAGGCCCGCTGGCAGCCGCGCCTGCCCCGGCTTCTCTCCCCCGTCCCCTGGCAGCCTGCGCAGCAGCGTCTGCAGACCCCCTCGGCCCCTGCGGGTAATCCAGTCGCTCGGGAGTCGGGGGCACAGCCACACAGAGCCCTCCTCTCCCCCAGACAGCCCTTCCCCCGTGAGTCCTCCCCGCACGGACAGCCCCACTCCCCTTTCCATCCCGGCACTCCCTTCTCAAGCCAGGCGGAGGGTGCCAGCTTTGGGCAAGCTGTGTGTGGCGCCTGGCGACCCGGAGGCGGCAGGGTGGCGCTCGCCGCTTCTCTGCACGAGGCCTCGACTCCCCTCCACGGACCGGGCGGAGCAGCCCTGGCCGCTTTCCGCCTCGAGCAGGCCGTGGCTGGCCGGCCTGGGGACGTCGTGCGGCTGCTTGGCGCCCCCAGCGTGGAACCGGACGCCACGCAGAAGCACCTGGCATGGCTCCTTCTAAAAGCATCCAATCGATAGTGCATTTGGCCGGATGAAGGCACACGGTGCTGGGGGCCGGGGAAGAGGACGGAGCGCCCGCCTGGCTCCGTGCTGCACTCAGGCCTGCGGCTGCTTCCGGGACTGCAGGGGGGTGGGGGCTGCAGACCTGCCCCACCGCAGGGGGGACGCACCCCCCTCCTGTGGGCTAGCATGTCTCCAGACGCCTTCATCCTCCATGCTTTCGTGTGCTCTCTGCCACCAGGACTCCTTCCTGGCAGACGCAAACACTTCTCCACTCGATCGTTTTCTGCTACCTCAGAATGCTTTCTGAAGCACGATCGAGAGCTCACCTGGGGCGTTCAGGTGCTGCCGCCGCCTGGCCATCTCGGGGGACTGAGCCCCGATCCCGCAGCCACGGTCTCTATCCCCCATGCACACCTCTCCGTTGCAGGTGCACAGGAGAAAGGGGGGATTTGGCTGGACGGGGGAGGCGCGAACGGAACCGCATCTACCTGGGATTCTGTGCTGCTTGTCCTAGTGATGTCCTTTCTAGATAGATCCAGCCTGGATCCTGCGTGGAGAAGCGGACTTCCTTTGCTTTCCGAGCCTTCCTCGGCTGCCCTTGGAGTGCTCTCCTTCTCAGAAGGCTCCGCCGCCGTATTCAGACGCTCCGTCTCCCCCGGCCGTTTGGGTCCTGTGCAGGGGCTCGTCTGAGACCCATTCCTTGTGGCAGGGTCCCTGAGGCCAGCCTCTTCCCATGCACTTCCCTCTGGGCATTCCTTCTTCTCTGGCCCGTCCACCCGGACATCTGAATTGGCTGCCACATCCAGGGGCCGCTCTGGCTCCTCTGCACCCTCTTCGGCCGGTATCCTTTCGCTCGGGGGAACTGCCTCCGGACAGTGTCCTTGCTGAAGGCCATCCGGGTGGATGATTCCGTTCTGAGACCCCTCCGACTGGCTCTTCTCGTGGCTGTGCTCCAGGTCCGCAGAGCCAAGGTCCTGCTTGCTCTCATGCTCTTCCTGGGATTCGTGGGAAGCTAGTTTTTTTCCAATATGGGTGACATGGAATCTAGGGAGAAAGGAAAAGGCAACACTTGATCCTGTGAAGACCATCGTTCTTTGAGTGGCCAGGTATCCTGAGACCCAAACCCATTTTTGGCAACAAAAACCCAACCCAGGCCTTCTTGCTGCTCCTCCGTAGGAAAAGGACAAACGAAAGGGCAGGCTAGATGCTCACTCCAGCCACGGTGGCCTGGCCCACAGCTCCCCTCCCAGCGATATGGGCCTCACAATCGTGAGCAACACGGAGCTGCAGGCGTGACCAGCGCCACGGCGGCTGCGCAGGGAGACCTCCCCCTCCAGGGGACGCGGGGCCAGCCCCTTGTGCCCTCTCCGTGGACTCGGTGCGGGAGCTGGCGCCCTGAGGCCCGCGCAGGTCCACGGCCCTCGGCTGCTCTGGGTGCATCTCCTCCCTTTCTTTGCCGGGGAGGCTTCTGCGTGGACAAAGGCTGTCTTCTGGACCGCTGGGAAAGCTGCCGCAGCTTTCAGTCCCTTCGTCTCTCCCAGCTGCTTTTACTGCAGCCGTGCTTGGCTGAGGGTCCCTTGGTTTTCATTCTGAAACCTGGCAGAAGGAAGGAGTCCAATACCCGCCCCAGAGCGAGCGTCTTGCCGAGCAAATACCTGCCGACCGAGAAGACCGTGGTCTCGCCGGGGTGCATCTTGCCCTTGCCCTCCTTGGAGCGGCCCTGGCGGTGCAGCGGGCGGCGCTTCCTCCGGCTGCAGTGCATGCAGGGGGCCTGCGTGGAGCCCAGGTGCACGGTGTGGTGGTGGGGCAGGCCCGCGTCCTGGCTGCTGCGGTGCGGGCACAGGCTGCTGCGGGGAGGGAGCGGAGAGCCGGCCGGTCACAGACGCATTCCCGGCCCTGCAGCCCACGCCCTCGAGGCCGCCGCTCCGAGCCGGTCCAGGGCCGGACCCGGCCACTCCTGCCCAGCGGGAGCCCTGGCAGGGGCTTGGGCTCAGCTTCAGCCTCGCCAGGCGTTCTGGGGCAGTCTTTCCGGGGAGCAGGGACAGGCAGGCCGCCCCGGTTGGGCTTGGGGGGCAGCAGGCCGTCCTGCATTAGCCCTTCTGAAATGAACCGAAGCTGTGCGGGACGGATGGCGGGGCGGGGGGAGGACTTCTGCCTGCATGTTCTGCCTCTGGCAGCAGCATCCTGAGAATCTGGGGGCCGGGCGGCTGTGGGCATCGGGCCCAGGCTTCCCCCCCTTCCCTCTTCAGCGGCAGCTACCCCAGCCCAGTTCCGCAGAGGCTGCGCCGGGTTTCATCATGTGAGGAGAGGCGAGTCCCTTGCACAGCAGCCTTATCCCGGGGCCGCATTTCTTGGCCCTTCGATACCCACTGTTCGTCAGCCCTGAGGGGCACCGTGGCACCACTATAGCAGATTTCCTTCCTGCCAGAAATTTAACACCAAACTTCCCCACTTGAAAATAAACGCCCAGTGAAAAGGACTGTAAAAGACGGGAGAGGGCCCGGAGGACAGCCACCTCGGGAGAAGGCCCCGTGACCTTCCTTGGGGAGGAACGGGGTGCCCAACAGATGCCTCGGGTAGAGAAGCCCCCGGGAGGGGCACGCCCGGGACGGAGGGAGGGGGGAAGGCCTGCTGGATGCCCCACGAGCGGGCTGGCCTCCGAGGCCCCGAGCCGCGTCCTCACCTGGGCACGGGCACCGGCAAAGGGAGGTCCACGTCGCCCTCCCCCAGCATCTCCTTCAGGACCTCCACGTTCGCTGCGGGAGGAAGGACACGTCAGAGCGGGGCCCGCCTGCAGGGGGACCCCGCCCCCGGCCCCGGGCGCCCCACCCACCTTCATTCTGGATGATGCACTTCACTATCTTCTCCACGGTGTCCTCATTCAGCTCCTCGCTTTCGTCTGGAAGGAGAAGGGGGGGCGAGGGGGGGCGCATCAGCCCGCCTGGGCCCCGGGGGACACGCATCTGGAAGCGCTCCCCGAACACGGCTCTCCCCCGTGGCTTAACTCCCTCTCCAGCCCGGGGGTCTCTGGTGGAGCTCCAGCACCTCCCCACCCAGCCTGTGCCTCGTCCTTGCCTCCGGCACCATCCGACTCGGAGCAGGCTGCGGGCCCTCGGGCGCCGCGCCAGAGCCAGCCCGCCACAGGCAGGGCCCCACACCAGCACAGCGCTCGAGCGCCTCCGGGTCGCCGCCATCCATCCGAGTGCTGCCGAGCTGCTCCAAAGGCAGACCTGCGGCAGTTCCGTGGGGCACAGCGCAGCTCAGCTCCCCCACGGTCCCTAACGCTCCCTCCTCGGACGAGAGCCTAAAATATATTTACTGCATGCGTAAACCGCTCCGCAGCGGAAGCGCCTCCCTTGCTCCCCACGCCTGGGAGTGGCTGCCTCCTTGCCCCACTGTTTTAAGTCACCCTTTGCTTCTGGGCTCCTGGCCTGAGCGGCCTCCCTCGCTTCAGCCTTGGAATGACTGAACTGGTTACTGAAATGAGTTACTTCACTTGTTCATATTATTCATTGTTAGTAGTATCTTGCCCATTCATTTTTAAGCGCATGAAAGGGGAAAGAATTATTGTGGCTGCCAAAAGGTAATAACAAGCCAGACGTCCCTGGCAGCACGAAGGATGAACTGACAAACTGAGCAGGCGATCAGCGAGGGAGACCACGGAGCCGCCAGGTGGCTGCCCGATTCCGTTGCCTACGGGAAATCCGTTCCGCTTCCCCATCTTCTGCTCCAACAGCAGCTTCTTGCCCATGCTCCAGACTGTGCATCCAGACAATCCTTCTGGGCCCTCCAGGACTTCTCACGGCCCACGCAGTCAAAGGCATCACTGCAGTCTCTCCAGCACAGGCTGGTGGACTTCTGGCATCCTCTGGTGCGCTCCAGCAGCCAAAGCATAGTTGCCACATGATCCTGAGCGCCTCTTCCTTTCCGGAGTTCAGTTTGAACATCCGGCATTTCTCACTCCAAATTTCTCCCAAGCTCCTTCGTGAGCATCGCTCGGCTTGCATGGGAGACCAGTGCCAAGGCCAAATGCCTCCTGCGTCTGCCCTCTCGAGAAGGGACTCTCTGTCGGCCGTTCCCGGTCTGTGGGGCACTGCTCTGCCTCCCACATGTGCTGGCGCGTTTCTGTTAGGACTGAACCGACCCAGGCTTCTGCAGCTTGGAACGGCTCTCCCGGCACCAGTCTGCTGCGAACGCTGGCCTCCTCCCACGGGCTCCCTCCGCTGTGCTGTGCTCGCCGCTGCTGCTGCCGTGGGCACGTCCTCGGGGCAGGCCTTATGGAAGGAGTTTGTCATGCATTCGCTTCACTTTCTCAATGTTTTCTCCTGGTCCGAGAGCACATTCCCCTCCCCCGTCTTTCTTTCGGCATTCCTAATCCAGGTTTGACTTTCCCTTTGATTTCTTGCATCTTCCGCAAAAGGTCGCTTGTTTTGCCTCTTTTGTTGTCATCTTCTGTTTTGTTACATTGGTCATTGTGACAGTTCTGTTTGTGTTTCTGTGGTAAAAGTTGCACTCAAGATTCTTACCCCATTTCTGTCAACTTTTGCTCTTGCTTTTTTGCCTGTCCCTAGAAATTACATTTCCTTTGTCCCTCATCTAGGCCTTTTCTTTCTTTTTGCTACAAGAACTATTTGCATGGGCTTTAAATGTTACTGAATTTGTATTCTGGAACTCTGCTAGTGAACTTTTCCAGCTTTACTCCGATATTTGATATCTGGCATTCATGCTCATGACCACGATCTGTGCCTGGTCTTGCTTTGGCAGTGAGAATACAGCTTCTTCCAATTACACCATCTATTTGATTTCTGTTCTCGCCATCTGGTGATGTCCGTGCGCATAGTAGTCTGATTGGTTGCCTGAAAAACAGATTATTTGCGAAAAACAGATTGTTGGCATCACAAAATTTTATGAGTTATTTCTGCCCCTGAGGCCAAATTCTCCCATAATATTTGATGGTGCTTTGTTTCCTAATTTTGCATTCCAGGCTCCTGTGAGATCGGAATATCTCATCTTGGTGTGTTATCCATTTCTTGTAGAACACTTGCAGGGAAGTTTTCCTTCCATGTCTTCTTCTTCAGCATCTGCTTTTGGACCATAGACTTGAGTGAGGGCTGCTTTGATAAGGTTTTGTGATGGCCAAGATCCAGTCGGGGTCCGCATCCCGACCCCGCCTGCCTCAGCATCAGAGCCTCACCATTTCTTCTGCGTATTTCCACGGTAAAAGACGTTGCGTTTGTCCGACCGAGGAAGCCCCATCCCAGTTCCCTTTCACCTGCTTCCACCAAGTCCTGCGATCTTGAGCGATCCCACTTGTCCCTTCACGGTTTCCGGCCTGCCTCGATTTGTGCGTCTCACACCGAGCAGCGCTGCGCTCCCCTTTTGGCACGGTGCCCATCAGCCACTAGACTCCCTTCCAGCCTTGGCCCAGCCGCACCTCTGGCAACCGGGCCGTGGGAACTTGCCCCCTGCTCTTCCCGGGAGCTCTTCCAGCGTGGGAGCCTCATTATCTCTTGTTGCATTTTGGATTTTCCAGGTGAGAACATTCAGACATCATCTTGTTCGGGGCAGCACGAGCCAGCGTCGCCATGAGCATCCTTGCTGTCACCCGCAAAGGGCTGTCCACCCAGAGTCCTCTCCAGCTACTGCCGCTGCCCAGCAGCTGCCCTCCTGGAGTTCCTCTGCCCCCTTCTCCACGAGGGTGATCCGTTCCCTTCTGCGGACGCGAGGGTTGCTCCTGGAGGCAGTGGCTGCGCCTTGGCCTGGCCAGGGACGCAATCGAGACCTGGCCGGAGGAATGGCTCGGAGCCACCGCTGTGCCAACGCAGCCTCTGACGCAGAAGGGAAGCTGCGTGGCTCTGGCTGGCAGCACACAGGAGGTCTCGAGTCCCACCTTCATTTCAGGTGGGGCCGAAAAGCTCCTGCCCGAAGCCCCGCTGAGCCCGACCGGCCAGGAAGCAATCCTGGGCTGGACCGGCTTGTGGTCTGGCCCAGGGCGAGACGTTCCCGCGGTTCCCTGGATAGATGCCTGCACACCGCCTGGCCTGCTCAGCCATCCGGCTCGCGTGGAAGTCGTGCCGAGACGAAGCTGGTGGGGCAGCCGGGAGGAGAAGAGAGGCACATGGGCTGCTCCCTCTGCCTTCCTCCATCCCACCCGGCTCAGGCCTCGTTTGCTACGCGTGCCAGGACTCCAGGAGGCTGTCGATGCTGCAGCTGGAGAGACCTGGATTCCAGAACCAGCTTCTCTGCCTCCCAGAGAAAGCACCGGTCCAGTGAACAAGGAACAGGAGGGCCAGTCTCCTCTCAGCCTCGGAAGAAACGGCGGCAAGGATGGTCCCTGCATCCTGGTGCGGCAATTCTTGCTGTTGCTGGTGCGCCACGTTTGTATCGGCCTTCTTCCTCTTGTGGGGTGGCTTCCAAGGTTCCCTTCCCTCTTCCGTCCTCACAACAACAACCCTGTAAGGCAGGTCAGGGCAGGCCCAAAATTTATCAGTGAGCCTTGCAGGAGGAGTCCAACGCGACCCCCCGAGTCGCAGCCCATGGGCCCTCGGGCACGTGATGCTCCGTGCGACCAGCAGTTGAACATGCACAGCAGAGGGTGGCGACCTCACCCTGACCTTGGCATTCTGCTGCCTGAGCGTGTTAGCCCTGCAGCCACGAGCGCCCACATTCAGAGTATCATCCCAGAAAATCTGGCTGGGTAAAAGCAGCACCGCCGAGGTGTCCAGGTTGGATGAGAAAACGGTGACTTCCGCTGGGCTCCATCTCAAACCTACGTGGGAACGAGCGCTCTGCACTGACTGACTCGTTGCATTCATTCCTGCAACACTGTGCCCCATGCCTGACCCTCCGGCAAAGCTTGGCCTTATGCAAGGGGGGGGGG